GCAATCCTGACTACTCAAATATTCTTTTTTTTTAATGCCATGTCTATTAAGGACGTACCCCCACCTGACTACTCAAATATTCTTTTTCTTTTAATACTTTGTCTATTGAGAACGTAAGCAATCCTTGCTTCCCAAATATTCTTTTCTTTTAATGCCATGTCTATTAACCTGATTACTCAAATATTTTTCTTTTTAATGCCATGTCTATTGAGGACGTGGCCGACCTGACTACTCAAATATTCTTTTCTTTTTAATGCCATGTCTATTGAGGACGTAGCCCACCTGACTACTCAAATATTCTTTTTTTTTTAATACTTTGTCTATTGAGAACGTAAAGCAATCATATCTACCCACATATTCTTTTCTTTTTAATGCCATGTCTATTGAGGACGTAGCCCACCTGATTACTCAAATATTCTTTTCTTTTTAATACCATGTCTATTGAGAATATAAACAATCCTGACTACCCAAATATTTCTTTTCTTTTTAATGCCATGTCTATTGAGGACGTAGCCCACCTGACTACTCAAATATTCTTTTCTTTTTAATGCCATGTCTATTGAGGACGTGGCCCACCTGACTACTCAAATATTCTTTTCTTTTTAATGCCATGTCTATTGAGGATGTAGCCCATCCTGACTACTCAAATATTCTTTCTTTTTTAATACTTTTGTCTATTGAGAATATAAACAATCCTGACTACTCAAATATTCTTTTCTTTTTAATGCCATGTCTATTGAGAATGTAAGCAATCCTGACTACTCAAATATTCTTTTCTTTTTAATGCCATGTCTATTGAGGACGTGGCCGACCTGACTACTCAAATATTCTTTTCTTTTTAATACTTTTTTCATTTTTTTAATGCCATGTATTGTAGCCCACCTGACTCAAATATTCCTTTCTTTTAATGCCATGTCTATTGAGGACGTGGCCACCTGACTACTCAAATATTCTTTTCTTTTTAATACTTTGTCTGTGAGAATATAAACAACTTTGGTTCCCAAATATTCTTTTCTTTTAATGCCATGTCTATTGAGGACGTAGCCCACCTGACTACTCAAATATTCTTTTCTTTTTAATACTTTGTCTATTGAGGGACGTGGCCCAATCCTGACTACTCAAATATTCTTTTCTTTTAATGCCATGTCTATTGAGGATGTATCCCACCTGACTACTCAAATATTCTTTTCTTTTAATACTTTGTCTATTGAGGATATAGCCAATCATGACTTCCCAAATATTCCTTTCTTTTTAATGCCATGTCTATTGAGGACGTAGCCGACCTGACTACTCAAATATTCTTTTCTTTTTTAATACCATGTCTATTGAGTATATAAACAAGGACGTGCCTTTTTAATGACATTGGGGACTACTCAAATATTCTTTTCTTTTTAATGCCATGTCTCTATTGAGGACGTAGCCCACCTGACTACTCAAATATTCTTTTTCTTTTAATACTTTGTCTATTGAGAATATAAACAATCATGGTTTCCCCACATATTCCTTTCTTTTTAATGCCATGTCTATTGAGGACGTAGCCCACCTGACTACTCAAAATATTCTTTTTCTTTTTAATACTTTGTCTGTGAGGACGTAAACAATCTGACTACTCAAATATTCTTTTCTTTTTTAATGCCATGTCTATTAAGGACGTAGCCCACCTGACTACTCAAATATTCTTTTCTTTTTAATGCCATGTCTATTGAGGACGTGGCCCACCTGATTTCTCAAATATTCTTTTCTTTTAATGCCATGTCTATTGAGGATGTACCCACCTGACTACTCAAATATTCTTTTCTTTTTAATGCCTTTGTCTATTGAGAATATAAACAATCATGTCTTTCCCCAATATTCTTTTCTTTTTAATGCCATGTATATTAAGGACGTGGCCACCTGACTACTCAAATATTCTTTTCTTTTAATGCCATGTCTATTGAGGACGTAGCCCACCTGACTACTCAAATATTCTTTTCTTTTTTAATACTTTGTCTATTGAGAATATAAACAATCATGGTTCCCCACATATTCCTTTCTTTTTTTAATGCCATGTCTATTGAGGACGTAGCCCACCTGACTACTCAAATATTCTTTTCTTTTTAATGCCATGTCTATTGAGGACTGTGGAGAATGACCTGACTACTCAAATATTCTTTTCTTTTAATGCCATGTCTATTGAGGATGTAGCCCACCTGACTACTCAAATATTCTTTTCTTTTAATACTTTGTCTATTGAGAATATAAACAATCATGCTTCCCCACATATTCCTTTCTTTTTAATGCCATGTCTATTGAGGACGTAGCCCACCTGACTACTCAAATATTCTTTTCTTTTTAATGCCATGTCTATTGAGGACGTGGCCCACCTTTGACTACTCAAATATTCTTTTCTTTTTTTTTAATGCCATGTCTATTGAGGATGTAGCCCACCTGACTACTCAAATATTCTTTTCTTTTTAATACTTTGTCTATTGAGAATATAAACAATCATGCTTCCCCATATTTTTTTTTTTTTTTTTTAATGCCATGTCTAATTGTATTGAGGACGTAGCCCACCTGACTACTCAAATATTCTTTTCTTTCAATTGAGGACGTAGCCCACCTGACTACTCAAATATTCTTTTCTTTTTAATACTTTGTCTATTGAGAATGTAAACAATCATTGCTACCCCCATATTCCTTTCTTTTTTAATGCCATGTGTATGTGAGGACGTAGCCCACCTGACTACTCAAATATTCTTTTCTTTTAATACTTTGTCTATTGAGAATGTAAACAATCATTAGCTACCCACATATTCCTTTCTTTTTTAATGCCATGTCTATTGAGGACGTAGCCCACCTGACTACTCAAATATTCTTTTCTTTTTAATAATGTCTATTGAGGACGTAAGCAATCATTGCTACCCAAATATTCTTTTTCTTTTAATGCCATGTATATTGATTGGCCCACCTGAACTCAAATATTCTTTTCTTTTTAATACTTTGTCTGTTGAGAACGTAAGCAATCAATACCTGAGGACGTAGCCGACCTACTACTCAAATATTCTTTTCTTTTTAATACCATGTCTATTGAGGACGTAGCCGACCACTACTCAAATATTCTTTTCTTTTAATGCCATGTCTATTGAGGACGTAGCCCACCTGACTACTCAAATATTCTTTTCTTTTTTCTTTTAATGCAATCATTGCTCATATTCCTTTCTTTTTAATGCCATGTCTGTAAGCCCACCTGACTACTCAAATATTCTTTTCTTTTAATGCCATGTCTATTGAGGACGTAGCCCACCTGACTACTCAAATATTCTTTTCTTTTTTAATACTTTGTCTATTGAGATGTGTAAACAATCATTGCTACCCACATATTCCTTTCTTTTTTAATGCCATGTCTATTGAGGACGTAGCCCACCTGACTACTCAAATATTCTTTTTTCTTTTTAATACTTTGTCTATTGAGACTACTCAAATATTCTTTTCTTTTTTAATACTTTGTCTATTGAGGACGTAGCCACCTGATTACCCACATATTCTTTTTCTTTTTAATGCCATGTATATTGAGGACGTAGCCCACCTGACTACTCAAATATTTCTTTTCTTTTAATGCCATGTCTATTGAGGACGTAGCCCACCTGACTACCCAAATATTTTTCTTTTAATGCTTTTATTGAGGAGGACCAGCCCACCTGACTACTCAAATATTCTTTTCTTTTTAATGCCATGTCTATTGAGGACGTGGCCCACCTGACTTCTTTTCAAATATTCTTTTCTTTTTAATACTTTGTCTATTGAGAATGTAAGCAATCATAGCTACCCACATATTCCTTTCTTTTTAATGCCATGTCTATTGAGGACGTAGCCGACCTGACTACTCAAATATTCTTTTCTTTTAATGCCATGTCTATTGAGGACGTAGCCCACCTGACTACTCAAATATTCTTTTCTTTTTAATACTTTGTCTATTGAGAATATAAACAATCATGGTCCCACATATTCCTTTTCTTTTTTAATGCCATGTATATTAAGGATGTAGCCCACCTGACTACTCAAATATTCTTTTCTTTTAATACTTTGTCTATTGAGGACGTGGCCAATCATGTTTACCCAATTATTTTTTTTTTTAATGCCATGTATATTAAGGACGTAGCCCACCTGACTACTCAAATATTCTTTTTTTTTAATGCCATGTCTATTGAGGACGTGGCCCACCTGACTACTCAAATATTCTTTTCTTTTTAATGCTTTGTCTATTGAGAATATATAAACAATCATGGTTCCCCCCACATATTCCTTTCTTTTTAATACCATGTCTATTAGGAATATAAACCTGACTACTCAAATATTCTTTTCTTTTTTAATGCCATGTCTATTGAGGACGTAGCCCACCTGACTACTCAAATATTCTTTTCTTTTAATGCCATGTATGTGAGGACGTAGCCCACCTGACTACTCAAATATTCTTTTCTTTTTTAATACTTTGTCTATTGAGAATATAAACAATCATTTGTTCCCCACATATTCCTTTCTTTTTTAATGCCATGTATATTAGGACGTAGCCCACCTGACTACTCAAATATTCTTTTCTTTTAATGCCATGTCTATTGAGGACGTGGCCCACCTGACTTCTCAAATATTCTTTTCTTTTAATGCCATGTCTATTGAGGATGTAGCCCATCATGACTACTCAAATATTCTTTTCTTTTTTTAATACTTTGTCTATTGAGGATATAAACAATCCTGACTTCTCAAATATTCTTTTCTTTTTAATGCTTTGTCTATTGAGAATGTAAACAATCATGACTACCCAAATATTCCTTTCTTTTTTTAATGCCATGTCTATTGAGGACGTAGCCCACCTGACTACTCAAATATTCTTTTCTTTTAATGCCATGTCTATTGAGGAATGGCCCAACCTGACTACTACCCAAATATTTCTTTTTTTTTAATGCCATGTCTATTGAGGAATAGCCCAACCATGTTACTCAAATATTCCTTTTCTTTTTAATACCATGTCTATTAGGAGAATGGTTCCCAAATATTCTTTTCTTTTAATGCCAATCACTCTACCAATATTCCTTTCTTTTAATGCCATGTCTATTGAGGACGTAGCCCACCTGACAACTCAAATATTCTTTTCTTTTAATGCCATGTCTATTGAGGACGTAGCCCACCTGACTACTCAAATATTCTTTTCTTTTAATACTTTGTCTATTGAGAATGTAAACAATCATTGCTACCCACATATTCCTTTCTTTTTAATGCCATGTATATTAAGGACGTAGCCCACCTGACTACTCAAATATTCTTTTCTTTTAATGCCATGTCTTTAATGGCCCACCTGACTACTCAAATATTCTTTTCTTTTAATGCCATGTCTATTGAGGACGTAGCCCACCTGACTACTCAAATATTCTTTTCTTTTAATGCCATGTCTATTGAGGACGTAGCCCACCTGACTACTCAAATATTCTTTTCTTTTAATGCCATGTCTATTGAGGACGTAGCCCACCTGACTACTCAAATATTCTTTTTCTTTTAATGCCATGTCTCTTTGAGGATGTAGCCGACCCTGACTACTCAAATATTCTTTTCTTTTAATGCCATGTCTATTGAGGATATAGCCAACCTGACTACTCAAATATTCTTTTCTTTTAATGCCATGTCTATTGAGAATGTAAACAATACCTGTTTACTCAAATATTCTTTTCTTTTTAATGCCATGTCTATTAAGGACGTAGCCCACCTGACTACTCAAATATTCTTTTCTTTTAATGCCATGTCTATTGAGGACGTAGCCCACCTGACTACTCAAATATTCTTTTCTTTTAATGCCATGTCTATTGAGGACGTAGCCCACCTGACTACTCAAATATTCTTTTCTTTTTAATACTTTGTCTATTGAGAATATAAACAATCATTGCTACCCCATATTCCTTTCTTTTTTAATGCCATGTATATTAAGGACTTAGCCCACCTGACTACTCAAATATTCTTTTCTTTTAATGCCATGTCTATTGAGGACGTGGCCCACCTGACTACTCAAATATTCTTTTCTTTTTAATTCCTTTGTCTATTGAGAACGTAAACAATCATAGCTACCCAAATATTCCTTTCTTTTTAATGCCATGTCTGTGAGGACGTAGCCCACCTGACTACTCAAATATTCTTTCTTTTTAATGCCATGTCTATTGAGGACGTAGCCCACCTGACTACCCAAATATTCTTTTTTTTAATGCCATGTCTATTGTGGGAATGTAAGCCAACCTGACTACTCAAATATTCTTTTTTTTTAATGCCATGTCTATTGAGGACGTAGCCCACCTGACTACTCAAATATTCTTTTCTTTTTAATACCATGTCTATTGAGGACGTAGCCAATCATGACTACCAAATATTCTTTTCTTTTAATGCCATGTCTATTGAGAATGTAAACAGCCCACCTGACTACTCAAATATTCTTTTCTTTTTAATGCCATGTCTATTGAGGACGTAGCCCACCTGACTACTCAAATATTCTTTTCTTTTAATGCCATGTCTATTGAGGACGTGGCCCACCATATTCTCTTTTCTTTTCCTGACTTTCTCAAATATTCTTTTCTTTTTAATACCATGTCTATTGAGGACTTAGCCAACCTGACTACTCAAATATTCTTTTCTTTTTAATGCCATGTCTATTGAGGACGTAGCCCACCTGACTACTCAAATATTCTTTTCTTTTAATGCCATGTCTATTGAGGACGTAGCCCACCTGACTACTCAAATATTCTTTTCTTTTTAATACTTTGTCTATTGAGAATATAAACAATCATGGTTCCCCACATATTCCTTTCTTTTTAATGCCATGTATATTAAGGACGTAGCCCACCTGACTACTCAAATATTCTTTTCTTTTAATGCCATGTCTATTGAGGACGTGGCCCACCTGACTACTCAAATATTCTTTTCTTTTAATGCCATGTCTATTGAGGATGTAGCCCACCTGACTACTCAAATATTCTTTTCTTTTTAATACTTTGTCTATTGAGAATATAAACAATCATGGTTCCCCACATATTCCTTTCTTTTTAATGCCATGTATATTAAGGACGTAGCCCACCTGACTACTCAAATATTCTTTTCTTTTAATGCCATGTCTATTGAGGACGTGGCCCACCTGTTTCTCAAATATTCTTTTCTTTTTTAATACTTTGTCTATTGAAAACGTAAACAATCATGGCTACCCACATATTCCTTTCTTTTTAATGCCATGTCTATTGAGGACGTAGCCAACCTGACTACTCAAATATTCTTTTTCTTTTAATGCCATGTCTATTGAGGACGTAGCCCACCTGACTACTCAAATATTCTTTTCTTTTTAATGCCATGTCTATTGAGAACGTAAGCAATCATGACTACCCAAATATTCTTTTTCTTTTTAATGCCATGTCTATTGAGGACGTAGCCCCACCTGAATACTCAAATATTCTTTTCTTTTAATGCTTTGTCTATTGAGGACGTAAGCAATCATGTCTACCCAAATATTCTTTTTGTTTTAATACCATGTTCATTGAGGACGTAGCCGACCTGACTACTCAAATATTCTTTTCTTTTAATGCCATGTCTATTGAGGACGTGGCCCACCTGACTACTCAAATATTCTTTTCTTTTTAATACTTTGTCTATTGAGAATGTAAACAATCATTGCTACCCACATATTCCTTTCTTTTTTAATGCCATGTATATTAAGGACGTAAACCTGACTACTCAAATATTCTTTTCTTTTAATGCCATGTCTATTGAGGGACTCAAATATTCTTTTCCCACCTGACTGAGAACTCAAATATTCTTTTCTTTTTTAATGCTTTGTCTATTGAGAACGTAAACAATCATGAGGACATGTCTATTAGCCCACCAGACTACTCAAATATTCTTTTCTTTTAATGCCATGTCTATTGAGGACGTAGCCCACCTGACTACTCAAATATTCTTTTCTTTTTAATACTTTGTCTATTGAGAATGTAAACAATCATTGCTACCCACATATTCCTTTCTTTTTAATGCCATGTATATTAAGGACGTAGCCCACCTGACTACTCAAATATTCTTTTCTTTTAATGCCATGTCTATTGAGGACGTGGCCCACCTGACTACTCAAATATTCTTTTCTTTTTAATACTTTGTCTATTGAAAACGTAAGCAATCATGGCTACCCACATATTCCTTTCTTTTTAATGCCATGTCTATTGAGGACGTAGCCGACCTGACTACTCAAATATTCTTTTCTTTTAATGCCATGTCTATTGAGGACGTAGCCGACCTGACTACTCAAATATTCTTTTCTTTTAATGCCATGTCTATTGAGAACGTAAGCAATCATGGCTACCCACATATTCCTTTCTTTTTAATGCCATGTCTATTGAGGACGTAGCCGACCTGAATACTCAAATATTCTTTTCTTTTTAATACTTTGTCTATTGAGAACGTAAGCAATCATGTCTACCCACATATTCCTTTGTTTTAATACCATGTCTATTGAGGACGTAGCCGACCTGACTACTCAAATATTCTTTTCTTTTAATGCCATGTCTATTGAGGACGTAGCCCACCTGACTACTCAAATATTCTTTTCTTTTTAATACTTTGTCTATTGAGGGTAAGCAATGTAAGCAATCATGGCTACCCACATATTCAAATTTCTTTTTTTTTTAATGCCATCTCTATTGAGGACGTAGCCAACCTGACTACTCAAATATTCTTTTCTTTTTAATACTTTGTCTATTGAGGACGTAAGCCCACCTGGCTACCCAAATATTCTTTTTCTTTTTTAATGCCATGTCTATTGAGGACGTAGCCACCTGACTACTCAAATATTCTTTTCTTTTAATGCTTTGTCTATTGAGGACGTAAGCAATCATGGCTACCCACATATTCCTTTCTTTTTTAATGCCATGTCTATTGAGGACGTAGCCAAACCTGACTACTCAAATATTCTTTTCTTTTAATGCCATGTCTCTATTGAGGACGTGGCCCACCTGACTACTCAAATATTCTTTTCTTTTTAATGCCATGTCTATTGAGAACGTAAGCAATCCTGGCTACCCAAATATTCTTTTCTTTTTAATGCCATGTCTATTGAGGACGTAGCAAACCTGACTACTCAAATATTCTTTTCTTTTTTAATGCCATGTCTATTGAGGACGTAAGCCAATCATGGCTACCCAAATATTCTTTTTTTTTTAATGCCATGTCTATTGAGGACGTGACCCACCTGACTACTCAAATATTCTTTTCTTTTTAATACTTTGTCTATTGAGAACGTAAGCAATCATGGCTACCCACATATTCCTTTCTTTTTAATGCCATGTCTATTGAGGACGTAGCCGACCTGACTACTCAAATATTCTTTTCTTTTAATGCCATGTCTATTGAGAACGTAAGCAATCATGGCTACCCACATATTCCTTTCTTTTTAATGCCATGTCTATTGAGGACGTTGCCGACCTGACTACTCAAATATTCTTTTCTTTTAATGCCATGTCTATTGAGGACGTAGCCCACCTGACTACTCAAATATTCTTTTCTTTTTAATACTTTGTCTATTGAGAACGTAAGCAATCATGTCTACCCACATATTCTTTTTTTTTTAATGCCATGTTTTAATGCCATGTCTATTCTTTTTCTTTGAGGACATGTAGCCGACCTGACTACTCAAATATTTTTTTTCTTTTTAATACCATGTCTATTGAGAACGTAAGCAATCATGGCTACCCACATATTCATTTTCTTTTTAATGCCATGTCTATTGAGGACGTAGCCGACCTGATTACTCAAATATTCTTTTCTTTTAATGCCATGTCTCTTGAGGACGTAGCCCACCTGACTACTCAAATATTCTGTTTTTTTTTAATGCCATGTCTATTGAGAACGTAAGCAATCATGGCTACCCACATATTCCTTTCTTTTTAATGCCATGTCTATTGAGGACGTAGCCGACCTGACTACTCAAATATTCTTTTCTTTTAATGCCATGTCTATTGAGGACGTAGCCGACCTGACTACTCAAATATTCTTTTCTTTTTAATACTTTGTCTATTGAGAACGTAAGCAATCATGGCTACCCACATATTCCTTTCTTTTTAATGCCATGTCTATTGAGGACGTAGCCGACCTGACTACTCAAATATTCTTTTCTTTTAATGCCATGTCTATTGAGGACGTAGCCGACCTGACTACTCAAATATTCTTTTTTTTTTAATACTTTGTCTATTGAGAACGTAAGCAATCACGGCTACCCACATATTCCTTTCTTTTTTAATGCCATGTCTTTTGAGGACGTAGCCGACCTGACTACTCAAATATTCTTTTCTTTTTAATACCATGTCTATTGAGGACGTAACATGGCTACCATATTCCTTTCTTTTCAAATGCCATGTCTTTTTCTTTTAATGCCATGTCTATTGAGAACGTAAGCAAATCATACCCACATATTCATTTACTTTTAATGCCATTCCTTTTCTTTAAAATTCCATCTCTGTTGAGGACGTAGCCGACCTGACTACT